AAGACTTAGACTTGACTTGGATCCTAAAGACTTGAGACTTTACTTGGACTTGGACCCTAAAGACTTGACTTGGACTTGGACCCTAAAGACTTGAGACTTGACTTGACTTGGACCCTAAAGACTTGAGACTTGACTTGGACCCTAAAGACTTGAGACTTGACTTGGACCCTAAAGACTTTAGACTTGACTTGGTCCCTAAAGACTTGAGACTTGACTTGGACTTGTGGTTTGAGACTCGTGGACAATGCAAGTCTTTTCACTGCCCGGCTCATGACTCTCACTCTGTTAATACACATCCATGTTGTGCTTTTTTGAGAACAAACACATAAAATTTTAAAATCAAAGACATTTCCTCCTGCTCTCAAACTGAAAATATACGCTCTGGATTAAAGTCGGAATAATTCTTCCAAACACTCCCCTCCCCCTCACCTGAGAAGGGGAGGGGCCAGCGCTGTACAATGTTAATGATGTGTTCCCTATGTGACAAACAGAGCTTCAACATGGCTGCCATTCATTAATAAGTTTTGCTTACAGAGACAAAACAGATTGGCAAAATTCAAAGTGTGTGTAGTCCAAATCCAAATTTTTTTGTGATGACTTGTGCATTCCTTTTCCTTTAAGGATTCTGGTTCATCATCTTCACTGACATGCTGTTATACATTTAAAAATAAAATTTCTGGTATTTTTTTGTAAAATCATTAGCAGACATGTTGGATTTGTTCTTTGTCAATAACAAGACATGATTACAGTAAGACTACAAGCGCAAAATACAGTTAACAATACTCGAAATGCTTGATTGTGCCATAATCTGTGTTTTTTGTTTTCATTTTCTAGTGTTTCCGTGTTCCAGTCTATCCCCCCCCCCGACCCCCCGCTGTCTCACCTCCAGCCTCGCCCACGCTCACCTGTTTCCTCTTGTGTCTCCCCAGGTGTTTCCAATTGTCTCTTAATTTGTTTGCTTTATATTCAGCGTCTTGTGATCTTGTSTTTGTCCGTTCATTGTGCCGTCTCCCCAGCCAGTGTTGGTTGTTCACCTGTTGCCTTCACGGTCTCCTGAGAAGTTTCTGAGCTGCCTCGACAGCCTTTATGTTTGRYTGATAAATCTTTTTGTTTTSACCATGGATTTTTGCCTGCGCCCTGAGTCATTCTGCACACAACCTCACAGATTGTTGTTATTTCAACCTCAACCTTATCTGTATTATGTTTTAATAATAATACTGTGTTTTAATATTTGATTAAAACATAGTATTATAGAATATAATCTAGTATAGTAAGAATACCTTTCACGAAACTGCCAGTTGATGCATACAATGAGACGTGGACTTGAGGTCAAGAGACTTGAGACTTGACTTGGATTTTTGGACAAAGACTTTGACTTGACTTGGAGCCAAAGACTTGATTTGGACTTGCAAAACAAACAAACAAATAAAAAAAAAATTCTTGCACACATCTCTGTCGAGTTGTTAGAATAAATTTAAAAAAACCCTGTCTTCTGCCACACCACCTTTTTTCTTTGGTGTGTATTAGTCTCCTGTGATGTTCTGACAGCTACTAATGTTTTATTGAATTTTATAGTTTAAAGCAGGGGAGTCCAAACATTTTGTCACATGGGCCAAAATCATAAAGTCAGAAGGACTTGAGGGCCAAAAATATTCTTCCTTTACCTGCTCAACAATAAACTAAACATTGCATACTTTTAAACAAATAAAGTAGTCAGATTTATTGTTGGAAATGGGTGTGTAAACTAATGTAGATCCACAACTTTAAAATTGTTTTGAAGGTTTCCCTTATTGAAAGAAATTTTGCAATTTTCTAGGTTTAAACTGGGGAAAAAATAACCCAGTTTAGTCAATTCTGATGAATAAAATCAGGATTTRGGKCWCTCTTKTAGAAAATGCTCGCTGTATTCAGATGAATTTAATAAATTATTTAAAAGCAGATTGAACTGCAGCAAAATCAGCTTCTGAGTAGAAGTCACTGGATAGATGTAGAAAAAGCTAAGAGCCTGGATATTTAAAGACAAACAATTTGTCTTGTTGCTAATATTTTTTATTATACAGCAGGTAAAATAAGTATTGAA